GTATATGACGAGTGGGAAGCGAGTACCAACAGTCGGTATATCCAAGTATCCCGTCCCCGAAGTGTCGCCGGTGACGCAAGCAGACAGCGGGGCGCTGCTCCATGCTGCTGCTGCTGCGAAACCCCTTCAAGCGCTGAGATGATCAAAAGCCCAATACATGCACAACGACGGGAAACAGTGCATTACTATCCCACAGATGCTTACCGACATCGGACCCACTGACATCGACCGAACGTCCTGACAAATCACGGCGACTAAGTGAACAAGGAGTGTCCTATTAGGCTCTAGTGCCCGGTCATAAATCGAAGAATATGGATACAGATGTAGGGAACGATAGCAAATGCTAGGGATGAGACTGAGCGGTGTACATTACTGTGCATGAGAGTGCGTCGATAGCAGAATCAGGGTATGTCGCAGATCAGGGGAGACAGCTCATCATGAGCCTACGGTGAACGACTCGCCGCACCCGCAGGCATCGGTGATATTCGGGTTCGCGAAGACGAACTTTGAGCTGGATTTCGATGTCATATGAGCGTCTATTGCGCACAGGAGAGACGTTGTGTAGCGCACCTTAGTGGGTCTTCCTTCCAGTCCATCTCCGAGCCGATGATGCTGAATAGCGCCTTCGAGTCGATGACAACTTGTACGCCGTCCTGTTCGACCACCTCGTCGAACTTGGCCGGCTTATCAACGTATTCAAGGTGGTACGAGAGGCCTGCGCAGCCCTTATTACGGACACCAATGCGAAGAAGTTGGGGTGTGGGGCTCTTGCTGAGCGTCTTCAGCCTCTCCATGGCGGTAGGCGTCTGCGAGTATGATCATTAATGTGGTATATAAATGCGATGGATGAATATACGAACGATAGTAAGCGCCGCCTTCTTTGACCGAAGCGTCGGCTTGGGGCGCTGGGGTCGTGGAGCGGGCGGTGGTCGTGCGGCAGTTTGCGGCGACGCGGCGTCAGCGCTCAGGGGTGTCTTATCCGTGGGCACGACAACTGGTATGGGCGGCTTCTGGTAGCTGGGGGACGATGCGGGGGACGCCGGCTGGGTGGAGGTAGAAGCGCCCGAGGTCGCCCATGAAGATGCTGACATCATGCCGGTCCGTGCCGGAGCCAACGCAGAAATATTCAGACGAGTATGCGAGAGCGCATGAGAGCATCGACGGGCTGCGAGAGAGGCCATAGTGACTGGGAGGAGGGTGGTAGCTGTGGTGGTCGGAGTACAAGTTGGGTCGTAATAAAGTAGGTAAAGCGTTGATCAGCCGCGAGCGGGCAGCCGACCAATCACAGGACGGAGATGTCCAACACGCTCCGTCTTCGCTGCATCCGGCCTCCGCCTCTCACCATCTCGACCTTTCTCCGGTCTGTCTCGATCAGCCGATGAGTTATCTTCCGAGTCCTTGACGATCACACCATGACTGGAATTTCCTGAAATGGACTTTGTGGTTGTGGATTCGTGTGCTACAGTAATGACAAATCGTTGTTGTACAGCATCAAGCTGGGGACTGGGGATCGACCGTGTGGGGAGGAAAGCAAGAAGAAAGCACCAAGAAAGGAAGTGAAAACTGCAAAGGAGCCCTAATGCTACGACGTCGGGATAAATAGCGCGATATGTGTAGGTATAGGGCGGGATCTGTATCGTAAAATGCGACAGAAATATAGAAGAGGCGATTGTGTGGTATGTGCTGATACAGAGGGAGATGATTGCGGTGTGAGGAGGCTGGGGAATCGAGAACCATTAGCTCGTGGGCGGAAGTGAGGTAGTAGAACAAGGCGAATCAATCGTGAGGTGGTCGTTGGTCGTGAAGGAGAATAACAAAGGAATAATGAAAGGTGAAAGGGGGCCTTGTGAGTGAGTCGTCGCGCGGCTCATGCGTGTTCTGCATTTTCAGATTCCCGTAGTCGGCGGGGTAACCGGGAACGCTGCGTAGAAGCGCCCAAAGCTGGGCAGGCTGGAGTAATCGGGGCGCGAAGGCCACACCATCGCCCGCGCGGGATGGAACGCCTCAGGCGGAGTCCCAGGCTGGGCAACAACGACAGGCACAACGCGAACATCCTGCTTGCGCTTGCTGGCCTTCTTGTCTGGCGAGAACTCCCTGCGGCGCTTCTCTGAGCTTGAAGTACGCTTCTCGGGCGACTGCGAGTGCTCCCGGTGCGAGCTCTTGTGATGATCATGGTTGCGCACGTCCTGAAGCGGCCGCGAGCGCGACGAACTCCGGCGGCGCTCGCGATGCTCCGAGCCGTGACGAGAGCCGTGCCGCGAAGAGCGGTTCTCAGCGTGATGCGAGGACGAAGGCAGCTGTTCACCGGGCGAGGGCACGAGCACCCACCAGTCGTCGTCCTGGTGCCGCGGCGGAGGACTTTTCAGCACGAGCTTCGAGTTCGCGCCCGACGGAGTCGGAGGCGACTCGAGGGTGTACGGCGCCTGCGCGTCCGCCCAGTGCACCCGCTTGTCGACGGCCGTGACCGATGCACGACGCCTCGGGCGTCCAGACACGGGGGAAGCAGATGCACTCGAGCTCGTGTACATCATCGACGACGCACGCGGACGCCGAGGGCGAGCAGTCGTCGTCTTGATCTGCGGCACATGCGGCGCCGAGACCGACTGGCGCGGGGCGTGGGTAGCAGGGAAGGGCACGGGCGCCGCAGCGGGACGCGCGGGGGCGGGCATGCTCTCCCTCTTGGGGCGGCGGGAGGAGGAGGAGGAGGATGAATGCGAAGATACGGCGGAAGAGGAGGTCGTCGATCGGGAAGATTTCGAAGATTTGGACGACGAAGATTGCTCCATCACCGGGACGGATCCCGTCGGCGGCGCAGGCGCACTAGCGAGCGCGACCTCCGACAGCGCGGAGTCGAGCACGTTCATCGCCCTGTGCACCTGCTCTTCGTTTGCGCGGCGATCGGTGAGCACATCGAGTGCATCGATGATCGACGCGAAGTTCGACGGGAGGCGGGCATTGGGCGCGACGATGTACTGGAAGAGGCTCTCGAGCTTGTACAGAAGCTGCGCGCGTGCGCCGCTGGGTGGTGAAGGAGGAGTCGAGCTCGTTAGTGGGGTGGAGTGTGCGGAGCGAGCGCGGTCCAGTCGCTTGAGCAGGTCCGAGAGCGGAGAAGTAGGATTCGGAGACGGGACGTGCGGCATGCTGGATAGAGTGTTTGTTGAAGGATGGCGTGAGGTAGGATGTGTCGGTGAATAGATATAAGGAGGAGGACAGCGCAGGCGAAAGAAGTCTCAAGGGCGCCTGAGAGGCGAAGCGAATACGATGGCGGTGCCGACAGTCTACAGTCTTCAATCTCAAAGCACACACAAGCACAAGGACAGGCGGAAGAGGAGGGGAATGAAATGCGGGGCGAGCGACTGACCGAAGCTGGCATCGCCGCGCTCTCATATTTGTACCGCGCCTTGCGCTATTGTCACTTGTGGCTTTTGCCTTTGTGGTGGCGCGACGGACCCGGATCACAACGCTGCGCTCGCCTCGTGCTGAGCACCAGGTTGTGCCCACAAACTTTCGATCGGCGCTCTCGGACGCGTCGGATAATCACAGCTGGAGCTGCAGCGCGTGTTGCTGCAACCTTTCTTCCATTCTGAGATTCCGATGCTCGCGATAGCCACGCTCCGTCAGAGCATTCTGCTCCTCGATCTCTGAACTTGGTTATAGTGGGCGCGCGGGCGTCCGAGTGGTTTGCGATTTGGTTCTCCCTGTAAGCGCGTACTGTATGTGCTTGATGTTGATGCCGAGGAGTCAGATTGTATAGAGAAAGCTATGTCCACCTCATGTTATGACATGCGTGGCCTGCATAGACGCGCGTGTACTGTATCATTACACGCACAGCTCTTTGTGAGTTGAACGTTGGCGCAGCTTGAAAGGATGCGGGGAGACAATGAGTGCTACCAGTTGGAGGGCGATGCGGGCTTTGCACCGTTCGCACCTTTTGTGTGCAAGGCGTTCCTGCTGGACGGCCTCGTTGGTAACGCGAGGCAAGTACAGCAACCACCGCAGAGATGATTGTCATTTCTGTACTCCCATCCCGCGCTATCAGGATTGCCATCTCTCGCAGATGCTGCGACAGATCCATCCGGATAATCGCGATATGTCCATGTGCCTATCGCTCCACTGCTGTCTGAGCGCCTGCGATGCCAACACGGTCCGAAATTTCAAAGGTATATGGCTTGCTTGACGCGTTCACCGGCTATGAACAGTCATAGTACGGGTCACCTGTTATACGCGGGACGAGTTGTATACGCCGTGTGTGCTCCAAGTCATGCAATCGTCGTCGATGAATGGGGATAGAGCGAGGGCAGCGGAGTGCCATGAGGTATCGCTACGAGCGATGTGCTCATCCTCTTTCCCGAGGACTTGCGCACCTGGCGTTTCATCGTGAGTGTCGCCGCGGGTAGGGAAGACAGATGAATGACGCATACTGCAGCATGGCACTGTACACGGACGGCGCCCGAGTTGAAATTCAAATGCTGGTATTGAATAGCTGGTTGAAAGATGGCGCGCCGAGCAAAGGATAGAGATGCCGACGATTTCGGGAATCCTGGATCCCAGTACGCTAGTTGCGTTAGAAATTGGCGGCGTTGCATGAAGTGGAGCGTCCCATATCGGTACTCGGAACGCAGCCAGTACGGAAGGTACATCAGACTTTGGATAGTGCGCCGACGTCGGACCCCAATGAGGAGAACGTGCCAAGCGATGCGACCTCTCAGCTGCTCTCTTCTACACGAGGTATCCCCAAAGTAGTTGATTCCTAGGTCCGCGCCTTCGGATGGCACAAACTCACTTGAGACCTTGTTACCAATGACAGCGCCTGCGCTGAGTGTCCTCCCTTACATGGTCGGATCAGGGAAGCGATTGCGGATCTCACCAGTGCACAAGAAGACCGAGTACATATTCGCAAGTCTCAAGCCATAAAAGTATTCACGGCCTTCGGAGGATGCTCCAGTCCTGCCATCGCCGCCCTCTTAACGAGGCTGATGTCCTGAGCCTCAAGTGGAACCTTTGTGGTCCCATTGACACACCGGTGAGCCATTGTTTTGGAGTGGAGATCGTAAGATTAAGGCAAGGGAGATCGACTGGATATGCGATGTAGTTTCAAGTTGCAGACTGTAGTAGGCAACAAGTTGCGCCTTTCGAGCAGTTCTAGAAAACCGCGCTGTATGTCCATCACCTAGCATTGGAGTTGAATGTCGTGGACACATATTCCTACACGTCGACACAGCATTGTACAACGATGTTATATGGACCGGCTGTGATATCCAGGTGTCCGTGCGAGCTGTGCGAAGTTATTGTGATGATGGTGGAAGAGAGACAAGACGCGCGTCAACGTCCTGCGGTCCGCCGCGGCATCCACGCCCAAATATTATTGGGTCGCAGGTTACCGCGCTCTACCACTTAGAAAGGCCACACCACGACGAACCGCCACGTCTATCTCTGCCACGACAGTGTGACTGTGAGCTTGCGATGAGAACCTCGTGGGTTCGGTCGTAACGCCTTGAACCCGACAGGCAGGCAAGTGGCACCTTTCTCAGGCCGGCCCCGGACGCGTTGAGAGCCGACGCGTCCGATAAAGCACGCTTGATCTTCGCGTCCACCATCGCTTCACCTCCCTCCTCGACGCGTCTTTTCGCCATGGCTACATCCGAGACCCCGAAGCGAAGCTACGTGCTCGCGTCGCGCGCATCTGTACTCGCCAAAATCCAGACAGAGGCGACTGTAGAACTGTTCCAGAAGTCTTTCCCACAGCTTGCGTTCAGCACGTCCTACATGTCGACCGAGGGCGACAAGAACCAGTCTCAGGCGCTATATGTACTCGGCGGAAAGTCTTTGTGGACTAAGGAGCTTGAGGTCGCGTTGTTGGAGGGTGCCGTTGATATGCTCGTGCATTGCGTGAAGGACATGCCTACTACGCTGCCTCCGGGCTGCATCTTGTCCGCGATCACGGAGCGCGAGAACCCAGTCGACAGCTTGGTTGTCAAGAAGGATTTGCGGATTGACGGGAAGGAAGTGAAGAACCTGTCTGATCTGCCAGACGGTTCGGTCGTGGGTACGAGCAGTGTGCGGCGCGTCGCACAGCTACGACGCCACTTCCCGCACCTCCAGTTCAAGGATATTGTACGTGCCTCTCTCCCATTTGACATGAAACGCACATACTCATGCTTACTTTGACTTTTCGCACGTCCGTGTAGCGGGGGAACCTGTGCGTACACACACATACCGAAGCCACTTAGCAAAAGCTCACACGTCTTCCCGCACTGTCAGTACGACCCGCATGCGCAAGCTCGACGACCCCGAAGGCCCGTATGCGGCCATCATCCTTGCGAAGGCCGGCATGGTCCGACAAGGATTGGGCGACCGTCTCACGGCGGACCTTCCCGCGCCCACGCTCTACTACGCCGTCGGACAGGGCGCGCTGTGCATTGAGATTCGCGAGGGAGACACGGAGGCTGCAGCGCTTTGCGAGGCGATAACGCATTGGCCGACGCAGTGGGCGTGCCTGGCGGAGCGTGCCTGCTTGCACGAGCTGGAGGGCGGCTGCAGTGTACCCGTTGGCGTCAACACCGAGCTCACGATCGAACAAGATACGTCTGAGGGACGTCGCGCTAAGATCGCGATTACAGGGACTATCACCTCGCTCGACGGACAGCGCCATGTGCAGCAGGATCTAGTCGATACCTTAGATGGTATCGAGAAGGCGCAATCTGTGGGTGTACGTCTTGCACGCGCTCTCATCGAGAGCGGAGGTGCGGCGATTCTGGATGAAATCAAGGAGGATCGTGCCAGGCGGCAGGGCGAGAACAAGACAGCCGAAGAAGTTGCTAAGATTGAAGCAGCGCAGAACCCAACCGCTTGAAAGACTGTATCACTATTGTTGTGCTTTCCGTAGACCTGCTTGTACGAGTTATACCTATTCTTTGTCATCACGCTGTATCTTTCCATCTGTGCGCGGGCATCATGTACTTATACCCAGGCAGAAGTCGCAGCCGAGGTATTTGAATGGTAAAATGATCATGACATTGCATCAGACAAAGTCCGCTTCCAGGCCAGCAAGAGTAGAGCATTACGTGCGAGAACATACGAGAGATGGAGACAAACGGTGATTCATTCAGGTTACAATCTGCATCAGACGCCTTATGTCTTGAAGAGTAACATGTAGCGAAGCTTGACCTGGTTGATGTTGTAGACGATGTACTGGATATAGTGTGTGAGAACGGGGAACAATATACATGGAGGGCAGTGCACTTGCCTCGTTGTAGTATAAACTGTACTGCTTATCTGAGCGCTCCTTCGCCGGGCCTTTTGGCATATGTACGCCTAGAAGCGAGTCGTTACCGAGTGCCACACCTGCATCTTGCCACTCCTCTGGCTGCCAGCGCCCCACACCGTGGGTAGACCTACAGGCGTCAGCATAGATGCTTATCGAGTCTTGGAAGCTACTCGAGTACGCACATCTTGCCAGCTTTCTTGCAGTCTTCATCCGCATGATAATTCGCATGGATCTGTTCAAATGTGGGTTTCACCGCCGCCTCGCAAAGGAGGATCAACCCGTATCGGTTGCTCAGGCTACGAGGCATGATAAGACACAATACGCGCATAGAAGACAGAGACGTACTGAGTGTTACAGTATCCAGCCGACTTTCAATTAAGTCAGTGAGATACGAACGTTCGAGGACCAGGTTGCAGACCTTTGAGACCATCTGAATATGTCTGATTTAGCTGCATACAGTATTTGGAGAGGAGAGAGCGTACGTCTGCCAAGTAAATTCCTTTTGAATACATATAACCATTAACTTTTCCCACGGTATTAGATAGCACGAGATGGACAGTAAGGAACAGAGCGTACCAGGAGCTGGAAAGGAGTGAGTTCATTGAATTAATCCCTTGATTTCGAACCACACACCTTCCGGGGGAGCGATGCGGAGACCTTGACGAAGAATACCGGCAAAGTTTGTGACTCTAGATCCATGCCATAAGAGTAGACGCTGGCCGTCTTCGAGGTTGTTGTGTCCGGCATTGTTGAACGCGACGGTCTCCGCGTCCCTAGAGCAGGCGTGAGAACAATGATCGGCAAGCGCCGAAGTTCGCACGGTGTACATACCTTGTCACACGGAATGCATGCTCGATGTTGATCCTTGTGCCATGAGTAGCGCCATGGGAATCGGTAACGTATGCTTTGAGTGTCGCCATCTCGTCGCTCATCTGGTCGACGACCGACATGCTGGAGAGCTGCAGCGAGCGGAACTGGCTGTCAAGCGGGTTGATGGGGTTGCCGTCTTCGCCCTTGGGAATCGTTGTATCGTTGAGAATCGTCTGGGCGATTTGCTATGGGGCATGGCTGTAAGTGAGTTCTGGGATAGGCGAGCGAGACTCGTACCATGTCGCCGAGCGCGTCAACTAAGTCCAATTCCCTTTTGAGACGGTTTTGGTCGTTGATGACGGGTGGCACGTTTCTCCCGAAAACGTGAGGAATAACACTACAAGACACAATCAACGACGGTCTAACAGCACACGTGAAGAGCTAACGAGTAGTAGTTATTTGTAAGTTCAGTGCAGGCAGTAGCGAAGCCGCCATGCTGTTGCGCGACGGCGCCGCTGGGGTCATTAATGACTTCGGACAACAGCTATTTAGGGTTAGACGCGTAGGAAGGCAAGATTGGTATAGACATGCCTTCAAAGCAGAGAAACCGTTGAGGATGGTAGACTTCGACATCTTGCCGAGAGGAAGCTTGTTGGCATCGTAGTTCATCTCCGACAGAGCAGCGTTGACGAAGTTCTGGTTGAAGATCAGTCGAGTGACAGCCTGTATCTCCGGCTCGAGAGTCGATTCCGGGATGACCACCGACTTGGGCTTTCCAGAGCCAGTGGCCTCACCCTTATCCTCGGCCGCATCCTTTTCTTCGTCCTCATCAAAGGACCGTTCTTTGACACAGGTCAGGATGGCGAAATGGCAAGAAGATGTGTACTCCTCACCAAGCCAAGTATATTTGCCTGTTCATGCGTCAGAGGCGATGTAATGGAGTTGCGGAAGAGTACACGAACCCTTCTTAGCAACCATACCACGACGGTCCTCCCAGTTTGTCGCGGCCTTGCTTTTGAACGCCTTCTTGAATTCGTTGATGGCTTGCGCGGAGGGGAAGGGCCCCTAAGCGCCGAACGTGATCTCAGTAAGCGCCAAAACCGAAGATGCCAGCACATCGTGCGGAGCACGCACCTTCTTCGCGTTCTGTCCGTTCTCGCCGACACGACCCCAGCGAGTGAACAAATAGCATGAGTTGTTGTTACCAGTCGGGTGCAGCAGTTGTATGACGTAGAATCTATGACCGAAATCAGACCGAAATTGAGGTGTGAGAAGGACCAGAGTGTACTTGTTCGCGTTCTTTCCAATGTCTGTCTGGTTCAACATGGCATCCCACACTTCGCCGCTCATTTCGAGTACTTGGTGGTCATCTACAGATCGTTAGCCTCGCGGGTCTCCAAACAAGAAATTCTGTTACTCACTGACGAGGCCCGACGTCGGGTCCACGGGAGCGGCGCCACGTTTAATTACCTTGACCTTCCCCGTAGTAAGACACGACTGGACATACGGAGCGATCAATGCATTGTACGTACCATCTTCTTCGCAGGTTCTTCCTCTTCCTCTTCTTCGGAGAGGTCACTGAGATCAGCGCGAGCGCGCTTCGTCCCAGCCTTAGGAGCAGCCTTAGACTTGGAAGCGGGTTTGGCTTTGGATGCAGGTTTATCCTTAGACGCGGGCTTGACCTTGGACGCGGGTTTGGCCTTGCTGGCTGGCTTCGTGGCGGGGGGCGCGGGTTTAGCCGGTTCAGCGGAAGCTGCTCTAGTACGCGTGCTCCGGCGAGGAGCGGGCGCGTCTCCGTCAGCATTGGAGGCCGGTTTCTTGCGAGGGGGCATGGTAGCGGTGGTGGGGAGGGGAAGAGAGACGCGACCTGTCAACGCGCCGGTCGCGCCACAACTGATTTAAAGTCACAACGTGACCCGGTCCACGCGAGTCACCGTGTCGGCCTGGGCATAGCCTCGTTGCATCTTCCTTGACACGTTCGGCGATATCTTTCCGCCTTAGTGTGATTGTGACTTCATGCGCATCGAGAGTCAGAGCTGGCAGCAGAGCCTGGAGGGCGAGAGAATCGCTGAAGTAAGGGATTTGGACGTGGGAAAGCACTTGCACAATGGTCGATCGCGCCGCGCCGCTGCGCTTCTCTCTCTGCGACTGTGACCTGCTCCCTCGTCGCGGCTGAGGCCGCTGAGGGGTCTGATATCTTCGAACGACTCCTCTTCAATACAACACTTGTGTCCCGACCATCTATCTCATGCACGGTCATGAACATTTCGCATGAGTCCCAGACTCGAACGTGTCACGATCAGCCCAGCTAAATAGTGACAATGCGTTAACCATACCCATAACACACTCTCTACCCGTAGACCCTGCGTACAGGTCGTGACAGCGCCTGCACATTTAGAAGTCTACGACGCCTGACTGCGCAACATCTGTCAGTGCTACCCGGTACTATGCTATTCGAAGTACGCTAGCACGTAAGTATTGATTCGAACTGCCGTATTGTGCTGGCCGATCCTTAGTACGAACTTAGGTGTTACGTATCTATGCGAGGAGCATGCCTTTGTGCCTCGATGCCTTCTCTCTTTGTCCCGCCCTCCTCTCAGACTGCAGTGTTAGCCAACGCCAGAGGGGAAGATCTCACATTCACTTTAATGTACTAACATGTTCTTTTTAGCCTACGATGACGTGCGGTACTTGCTGGGATGGCCTCGGGCGTGCCAGCAAACGTCATTAGTTGGTTTGGGTACCTTATGGGATAGCTTGTGCGCCTCAACGACATCCTCGAGCTCACGTCTGACTGTTGTTGAGGTGTATTGTTGGCCTGGTAAGTAGCTGTCGCGGTCTGCAAAGTCACAGTGCCATTGTTCGAATCAATGACACAATTGCCTCGCCATCCAGGTAATAACGTCAACGCTGCTGACTCTCATCATCATCATCGGGATGCTCGGCAGCTCAAGCTTGGGTGTGTGCCCGCCACTTGTGACAAAAGGGGATGAAAGGGCAGGGACACGGCAAGTGCCGTTTCCGCATCGAACGCTCCGGGCCCAGCGCACGCACGGCGCGCTCTTGCAACATCACAAAAAGCACCGACATCAGCCTCGAGGCGCATTTGGGCGCCTCGTGCTTCACTTCTGTGACTGTAGGATGGGTTTTTGCCTGAGCTCGCTGTGCCGGACGATGAACTACCCTGCCCGCCCTCCGTGCATAAAGGAAGGCGCACGATGCCGCACAAAGGAGCCATTCATCTCCCCGCCGAGTCTCCAGCATGTCGCATTCCTCCCTCGCAAACAGCCAGAACGTGCCTGCCGGGCCTTCCACAGCGCGTGCGTTCGTTCCTGGCACATTTCACGCGAGCCGTTCACTCACCCGTGTGAATTCACATCCAGCCCCTTTCGCGCTTCCCAAACTTGTATTCTCGATTGTCGACGTGCGCAACGCTAGTCCCGAGGCCCTCAGGGTCATCCGTGGCATAGGCGTTCCCGTTCCAGAGAATATCGGCTGGGCAGCGTCACCGTCCTCTTCCACCTCTTCGTCTCCATCGCCGTCCGACTGTTCGTCTCCTTCGTCCGTTTTGTCTGATGGCGGACTCGAACCCGCATCCGGTCCTTCTCGGAGAACCAAGCAGTCAAATGACGCTCGCCGGAAGGCTGCAGGCCCTAGGGCTCGCACCAAGACCTCATCCGAAGTGCCGCGGCCACCCAACTGCTTCATCCTCTTCCGCCAACAGTTCACGGGCTCGAAAGATGGGCAGAAGTACCTTCAGACCGTTGAGGGGAAGCAGAACAACCTCTCCCGCGTTGCGGGCGCCCTCTGGCGTAAGATGACCGAGGAGGAGAAGGAGCCGTATCGTCTCATGCAGCAGGAGCTCGCCCGCCAACATAAGCTGGCGAATCCGGACTACCAGTTCGCTCCCTCGCGCCGCGGTCCGACGAAAAAACGCGTCAACAAAAACAAGGACTCTGACATCGCCGTCTCGGAGCTTGTGGCCAACCTTCACCAGACGCTCCCGACCGACGCGGTTGTCGAGGCGAGCGAGCGCTTCAAGGTGGAGTTCAAGGCGAAGCGTGCTTCTACAAGCCCTACGGGCTCTCCTGCTCGTTCGATCTCGCCAGCAGGTACCCCCAAGGCCTTCGCCGATCCCTTGTATCCGCCGGGAGACCGTACGCCTCAGCCGCGTCCCGCTCAACCCAGGGTCATCGAGCTTGCTCCGGCGCCGACGTTTGTGCCATCGTCCGTCCCGGCTTCAGAGCCGTCCCCGTCTTCTGCGACACACTACCCAGCTCAGTCGACTTCCTACTACTCGACGCAGTCGCTGCAGGCGTACTCGTACAACGCCACGTCTGCACCTGGCGTCCAGGAACCCTCGTCTTGGTCTGCGCAGGTAAGTTCTCCTCGTTCTCATTTCATTATACTGTCTGACTTGTACCAGGCAACCTCGCAACCGTACCAAAATATACCGGCGCAGTTGTCCGTTCCCGAGCAGCTCTTCTCTCAGCCTTCCACGTACCAACAGGATGCTGAATTTGCCTACCAACCGTACAGCGTCGAGCAAATGCCATCCGACATGTCCCTGGCTCTGGACCTCGCGCCGGTCGACGCGTACCCGCTCGAGCATACCATGTCCGCTGCCTCGATGGATAACCAGCAGCAGCTCCCAGACTTCAATCCGACACTGTTCGACAACATGATGACCCCGATGCCCACCTTCGGTCAGCGCTTCCTCGCGAACACCCAAAATGTCTCGCTAGACGCTCGCGGCACGGCACTGGCCCCTCAGTTCTACCCGGAGCAATTCGTAACTCAACAGCAGTACTCAACCACAGCTCCTGAGCAACAATGGGCGCTCCCGGCCTTGGCGACTCCTGTTCCTGACTTTGGAGATATTACTGGGTTCGACATCGACGCGATGAAGCAGGAGCTTGACCAAGCGCAGAGGCAGTACTTCCAGGACAACGGCCAATACCTCCACGACTACTCCCAGGATACCCATGCGCAGTGGAACGCATAAGGATCTCATGTTTTCTGGCTTTCTGGTTTCATACCTCTCTCTCCTGGCTCTCAAGATCGGACCTGTCTCCTTCCATTGGTCCCCACCCTTGTATGACTTATGGTGTCAATTATCCTGTCCCCGCGGACAGCCTCCCTCACCCCCCTCTGTTCACTTACTTACGCTGTACATATTACTTACGGCATGGTCTCTACATCTCCTACTTGTATCCATAGTTCTCGAGCTCAGTCATCCCTATACTGCCGGTCCGCTGCTCCGTACCCAATACAGTCGCTTCTTGAATTCGTACATTGTGTAATACATCGTGCATCGCTCGAAGGCGAGCACTTGTAGATGCCTACGAAGATAGTATTTCAAAAGCACGCAGGCCCTCTCTACCCAAGAACGTTGCACAAGCAACGACGCTCGCACCCGCAACACGCATCCGCGCAAGCGCTTCGCGCGACGTAACCCCTCCCACACCGATGATCTGAATATCCCGTAACGCAGCGTCCTGATGAGCGTCCAACAATCTTCGAAACGAGTACACATTCCCCAAGGATAGTGCATGGATGCTTTCTCCGGCCAGGCCACCGAGCGGTGTAGGAAGCGCAAGCTGTGTGGCGCCTTCTCCCGGCCCCTTGCCAAACGTGCTCGGAGATAGCTCTCGCGTCGTCTGATCATCGAAGAGCAACGTTTGTCCGAGCGTATTGGTCGACGTGAGGAACGCGATGGGGCTGGTTCGACCGTTGGCGCCGGCCTGGACGAGAGACTCCAGTAGATCAACCAGCGCGTCGAACTGGGTTTGATAGGTGTACGGCGCGAGCTTCAGGCCGATCGTCAAGGTGGGGTCTTTCTCATAGTGTCGAGCCAAGACCTGCAGGAGAGGCTTCAATGTGCTCGGCGTATATGCGGGTGGTGGTGCGCCTCGGATGTTCGGACAACTCGTATTGAGTTCGACGGCGATGAGTGAATTGCTACCCTCAGAGTCGCGCAGATCGGCGCGGAGAGCTTGGATCATGCCGAGCATGGTATCAAGCGTGCCGGGGGATGAGGTTGTTATGCTCAGGATGAACGGCTTCTTCGATCCTGACGGTGCGGCGGCCAGGATTGACTTGACCACATCGACGTACCACGCAAGTGGGTGGGGCGAGTATCCATACGAGTTCTGCGATGAGAGCCTGTCTCGCGTGAACACTACCTACACGCAACGCGATCAGATCAGCGGCACACTTGCAATACACGTTCGCCAGACGTACGCCATGCTCATCATTCTCCGGGAAGCCTAGCAGCGTCGCGGTCCGCGTAGTGACGGCGCCTATATGTGGACAATCGAACAGACCCTGTAATTGGTCCTTCTCCGAGGCCCATGGACAAGAACTATTGATGAGGGGAGGGTCAATCCTGAGTCGCTCAATCGAGGTCATCGTGCTCACTGGCCAAGCTGCGATAATGGACGGAAGCAACAGCAGATAGGGCAGCTCGTGCGCCTCGGCGATAAGCGCCCGGGAAGCCGACGGTAGCACGAACATGTGAGATGTCGAGCTGCGGTTCGAGACGCGTCTTCGGTGCTTAGCGCTTATACACGAGAAGGTACTTGAGAGGCAGGCTGGTTCATGGGATTATATTACGGTTCGCCGTTTCCCCTCGGTTCAAAACCGCGTTTGATGTCCGCGCGCCGCGCTGCGCCGCGGCGGTTATCGGCCCGACAAGGGCTTACCCTGCCCTCCCCCATTCTCTACCTTCGGCCAGCAGCACTGTCAGCTGTATTTGAGCCTTCATAGAGCTATAGTAGGCGCAGGAGCGTAGAAGGTGAACTTTGTAGGGCGAGTTCGTACCGCGCAAGGCCGCGGGAGGTGATTTCCGCTAATTTCCGAATTGTTCCCACGTCCTGATCGCAGGCATCGTACGGACTGAGTCGTCGCATAGAGCGTACTCAGAGCTGACAAGACGAGCCAAAAGTGACCTTCACTTCATAAGCGCTGTCCCCTTGAGCCAATATGTTCAAAGGCTTATGAGTTCGATCGTATGTACGACAAGTATATAAATATTTCGCTCCGAGTTTTGAGGGACTTGAACCAAGAATTCTGTTCTTCTACGAGAGGCTCTTCCACTTCAAATGCCCTTCATCCACAAATCTCATGGCAGATGCCGTATACGTACTTGGGGTGGGTACTACGTACTAAGTTCCTAGAGTAAAAGTACAAGTCCCGGTCAAGCCTCGGTGCGTGGGAAAAGTTCGGAAATTAGCGGAAATCACCTCCCGCGGCCTTGCGCGGTACGAACTCGCCC